GCTGCCTGAGCTCTGTGGGTTTCCTGATTTCTTCACAACCTCCTTCCTCTGTCCCTCTGCGGCTGGGAGCAAGGCCCCTCCCCAGAGACAGATGCCCCAGAGGCCCCTCTCTCCGGATCACGCCCACCCCCAGCTCCACCATGCACCCCCAGCTCCTGCCCCTGGCCCTCGCCCTCCTGGTAGCGGTGCCACCAGGGGCTCAGGCAGGTAAGGAGCAAACCCGGCCATGGGCCTGGCCTCTCTCGCCAAGTGGGGTGGGGCCTGGGCTGGGCTCAGCCAGGAGGCCTGCAGCGAACAGGTCGGGAGGCTCAGGGCTTGTCCCAGTGCCTAGGGGTCCCTGTATAAACCGCCACCCCACCCCAGAGGTGGCTGCATCTCAACCCTGGGGGACGTTTCTCTGGGTTCCCAGATGTGCCAGTGCTAATTCCCTGATACCGCCGGCTGGTCGGCCACCTCCCCGGGGCACGGCCAGGCCTGGCCTGACTTGGAGAGGGGCTGGGGGTAACGTGTACCAGGTAACATGTCTCAGAGCGGCTGAACCGGGACGGGCTCACACCCGGGTGTGAAGTGGGGCCCAGACTCCGGGCACGGCCGTGCTGCAGTGGAAGCCGGTGGCTGCGTTCGCCCGGGGCTGGGGCATCCGCACTGGTTTGTAACCCACACCCGGGCTCCGGTGTCTCCGCAACATCTGGCTGCCCGTGTCCCAGACACCCTGGCCACTCTCACCGGAAAAGGGGGAGGGGAGGTGACTGGCGCCTCCCCCCCGCGTCACGAGTCTGGCAGGGCTGCGTCCACACTGCAAAGCAACGGGCCCCGGATCCTGGCTTGACTCCGGCTCGGCCCCTCCGTCCCCAGAACTCTGGTGTCGGGCGATTCGGGTGTAGCCGGCCCCTCGGCGGCTCCTGCAGGCTGGGCCCCGGCACAAGACAGCCCGAGCACCAGGAGCCAGCTGCTGGGGGCCATGTGCCGTGATGCCCGTGGGCGGCTTGTCCTGCCTGCAGCCTGGCGCGCTCCTCGGGGACAGACGCAGGGCCAAAGCCGGGAACTGTTGTTAGCTGCCTCGCCCGGCCCGCTGTGGAGAAATAATGCCAGGGCGAGGGGCTGCATGTGGGGGCTTTGTCAGGGGTTACCGGTACCGAACGGCGACCCCTTCGCTTGTTAGCAAGGAGGGGTTCTCTAGGGTCACAGGGGGATCCCTGTATGAACATGCCCCACCCCAGAGCTAGCTGCATCTCAACACTGGGCAAGGGGATCCCTGTATAATCAGCCATCCCTCCCCAGAGGTGGCTGCACCTCAGCGCCAGGCGAGGGGTCCCTGTCACTCTTGCTCTCTTGTAGGCAGGAACCATCCGTCTCTGGAGTTCGCAGGCACAGAGGTGACGGCAGAAGCCGGCTCAATTGTGAGTCTCCCCTGCAACCTGACGGGGCCGAGCCTGAGGTGGCGGTGGGTCCCGCGGTACCCGGTCTGCGCTGGTGTCAGCAGTGGGATACAGACGATCTACACAGCGACGTCAGCTGGGGCACACAACGCTCCGGAGGGGAGATTTCAGAAGCGGCTGCGTCTCCTAACGAGTCAGGGAAACCGAACCTACGTCCTCGAAGTCCAAACCCTCCACATGAGCGACTCGGGCTCCTTCTTCTGTGCCAGCCCCAGCCAGAACGCCACGCCGATCTCCGTGACCATCACGCTCGGTAACAGCCCTGCTGGGGGGCTGGGAACCAGGACTCCTGGGTTCTCTCCCCAGCTCTGGAAGGGGGGGAGGGGTTGAGGATTTTGATGGGGGGCTATAGCCTGGGGCGGGGCGGAGGGGAAAGCAGCCAGCAGCGGGTGGGTATTTAACTGGATCCATCACGTTTGGCTCTGCCCCCACAGGCTGCCTGGCCGGGGTGTCCATCGCCGCGGTCCCCAAGGAGCCGGTCGTGGAGGGAGCGCCTGTGTCCCTCTCCTGCACCCCCTGTGGGGCGCAGGGACCCACGTCACCCCCAGCAGGGGGCGCCACGTGGCAGCTCAATGGGAAGCTGATATCGAACTCCACAGCCCTTCGGATCCTGAGGACCAAGGTGACGATAAAGAATTTCTCCAGCCGGTTCGAGGGTCTGTGGAGCTGCCACCTGCCTGGGGATCCCCCCCCGGTCTGGGGACTACTGCCTGGAGCGTGACCCGGGGGGGCACGGGACCCAGGAGAGCACCAGCCCCACCCCCACCAGTTCAGGTGTGTGGATCTCCCCCTGCCCTGCGCCCCCCTCGCTTCTCCGCCCGATTCTACCTCAGCTGGGACTGCAGGCGACCGGCCGAGAGGGGCAGAAATTAAAGGGCACCAACCCTGGGAGAAGCCGTTCCCTGTGGCTGTTCCCCAGCTCCCACCCAGAGGTGCCGCTGGGCGAGGGATCCCTCTATGAACAGCCCCCATGACCCACACCAGCATAGGCGCCGACTCCGTGGGTGCTCCAGGGTTGGAGCACCCACCGGGAAAAATTAGTGGGTGTTCCACACCCACCGGCAGCCAAGCGCCCCCCTCCTCACCTCCTTCTCCCCACCCCCAGCGCGCCGCATCCCCGCTCCTCCCCCTCCCTCCCTCCCAGCGCTTCCTGCCACCTAACAGCTGTTTGGCAGCGATTACGACTCTCCGGGAGGGAGGGGCAGGAGCGGGGACACGGCATGCTCAGGGGAGGAGGCGGGGCAGGGGCGGGGACTTGGGGGAAGGGGGTGGAATGGGGGCAGGAAGGGGGCAGGGATTTTGGGGAAGGGGTGTGACATAAAATTATTCTACTTAACTGCCAGGGGGCAAATTTGTGGAATGGGGCTGGGGTGACAGGGGGCAGGAGCGGGGCCAGGGGCGGAGGGGGGTGTCGAGCAACCACCGGGAACACGGGAAGTCGGTGCCTATGCACCCTAGAGGCGGCCGCATCTCAGCACCGGCCGAGGGATCCCTCTATGAACAGCCCCCGCGCCCCACCCCAGAGGCAGTCGCATCTCAGCGCCGGGTGAGTGATCCTAGCCCCCATTTTTCACCCCAGACGCCGGCACCCCAGGCGCCCTCCTGCCTCTGATCGGGGGCTTTGCGGGGGCCGCTCTGGTCCTGGTCCTTGTGTGTGTCATTGCTGTTATTTGCTATAGGAGGCGCCGGCCCAAGGACGCCAGGTACGGTGGGGCAGTGGGGGTCGGGGTGGGGCGATGCTGGGGGGCTGTACAATCCCAGGGGGTGGGGGAGGTAGGCAGAGACAGTCCAGTGGGGGGGGGGGGTGAGTGGACTGGGGCAGCTATAGGGGGGAGATTCCATGGGGGGGGCAGGGATGGGGG